CTTTCTCTCTCTCTCTCTCGCCCTCTCTGGTCAAATTAAAATAAATTAATAAATAAAGTTAAATTTAAAAATTCTTTTTTTTTTGGGGGGGGAGAGGTTTTTGCTATAGGGCGTATGCACTCGCCAGAAAGAGAGAAACACAGAGACAGAGAGCAAGAAATCACCCCCCAGGGGGGATGGCCACACCGCAATCCCTTCTCCTCTCAGGATCTTGGGCACGCATGCATACGCGCCCGGCGTGAGTTTGGGTCACCGGGTCCTGGACTTGAATCATGGCTGACCAAATGGGAGTCCAGTGACAGCCATTATGCCAACTGCTGGTCCTGGAAAAAAAATAATAACTCTTTAAAAAGAAAGAGAAAATAAAATCACAGCAGGCATGTGTTTGCGCATGTCCCAGATTCCAGAAGAGTGGAGGAGAAGGGACTGTGTGTGCCCACCCCTGGTGGAGGTGATCTCTCCCTTTCCCGTTCACTGTCTCTCCGCAGCAAGTGTATGTGAAGTGCACACGCCTATGGCAAAAACCTAAAAAACTAAAAAATATACATGATTCTTAGGTCAGTCCTATTGCCAAGCAGTTAAGGGAACGGGGTCTCACATGGCTGATGGCAGGTTCAAATCCTGACCCTGGTGGCTTGAAAACCACACCAGGCACATATTCCTGCGTGCCTGAAATCCCAACAGATGTCGAAACCAAGGAGAAGGAGTTGTGGTATGCTGTGCTCCGATGGGGCTGCTTTCTTCCTTTCCCTTCCTCTCTGTCTCTCTCTCCGCAGCAACTGCACATGGTCTTGGGCAATTAAAAAAAAAATAGATGGCTCCTTCAGACCATACTCTGCGGGACTGACGTGAGGAGGTTCTGTGCTCGTATCCGGAGAGCCCCGAGTGCACTGGGCATGCGTGTGCCCATGGTCGGGCCGGCTCCAGCCGGATGGTCCCTACATCCCGACCCTGTGTCTTGCTGTCTTCTCTCTGTATCTCTTAGTTGTAGAAGAAATAAACTTTAAAAAATACATATATATATATAAATAATTTTCATTTAAAGTTTATTTTTTTCAAGAGAGAAAGAGAAAGATAAACACCTTCCACAGGGCTTCACATCGTGACGCCCCCCGGCCTCAGCTGGCCAGGGCTCTGGGTGCGTACTCTCAGCACATATAGGTGGAATGGGGGCGTGAACCCGGGGGGTGAACCTGTCTATCGTCTTCCATATGCATCTGGCATCTTTTTTTTTTTTTTAAGGGGAGATTTTTGTTGTAGGGCATGTCTGCTTGTCAGATATATATATATATATATATATAGTGAGTAATATCCCCCCCCTCTTCCCCCTTTGGCAGCATGAGTTTTAAGCTGCTGAGTCCGGGATTCGAACCTGGACTGGCTGACCATGTGGGAGTCCAGCACCGTAACAATTACACCATCTGTTGGTCCTGGAATCTGGCATCTCTTGAGTAGCACATCACTGCCTGCCACTGAGCCAGTCTGGATGAATAAGAAAATCCTGCCCTGAGACCAGCAGTTAGTGTAATCGCTATGTCGCTGGACTCCCACGTGGTTGACCGCGGTTCGCGTCCTGGACCCGGTGGCTTAAAACTCACACCGGGCATGTGTGCGTGCGTGCCCAAGATCCCGAGAGGAGAATGGAGGAGAAGGGATTGTGGTGTGATTATCCTCCCTGGGGGTGATTTCTCGCTTTCTGTCTCTGTCTCTGTCTGGTGAGCGCATGTGCCCTATAGCAAAATATCTCTTTAAAAAAAAAAAAAAACAAAGAAAATCTTGCCCCCAAACATGTGAAATTCAAAACAATGAAAAACTGAACAGTGTATTATTTGGAGAGATATGTGTGTGTTCAAATTTATAAAGAAAACCACGGAAATTATAAGTGAAACTCAAGATGTAGTTTTCAGAAGGCAGAGGTGGAGGGGGTGGGGCCACAGGCTAGGCACAGGTGAAACCCAGCATTGTTACCACCGGTTTTCTTTAACTGGCATGTGAGAGCTTACCATTACTCCTCATCCCTCAGGTTTACTGCGTATCATTAAGATGTATAAAAGGGCTGGCAGGTGGCCTGGTGGTTAGGGCACTGGACTCGCATGTGGCTGGATGCGCTTGGAATTCCAGACCTGGTGGAATTTTATGGGAAAAGAGCTAGAGATGGGGAAGCAGAGGAAGCGCTTTGTGGAGAATGTGTGGTCTAAGCGTGGATAAAAGGCCCAGGTGGGTGAGTCGTGAGCAAGCTGGGAGACTGGTCCAAGCGCAGGGAATAAGAATTAGCACAGCCCTTGGGACATTTATTGGGTTCTCTGAAAACTCATGATGCATTTTCGCATAGAAAAGTATGTCGTGACTTTTCCGATGCCCCAATATTGATATTTCCACTGCCTTGCTTAGGTCTTGGCATACAATACGTGCTTAATAAGTGTTTGCTGAATCAGTAAGTCTCCTGCCACATTTCAGATGTCTGCTCTCTGGCACTGGAGATGCTACAAGCTTTATTTTCCTTTTCAAAGGAAATAAGATCCCTTAATGGGGAAACGAGAAGGAAGACAGAAAGCTGACTATTGTGCAAATTACTAAATTGGAACTATGAGTGGGAATGAAAAATTGATTTACATGAATTTTCTTCCCTGTAGCAACTTGACAATTTATTCCGTTCTGCAGAATTTTCAGTGTCTGGCTTCCAAACCAAGCTGTTCCTCCTTATTCTGAATTTCTTGGCCTGCTGTGAAACCAACATTTACTGTCTTTTACAGCATCCCCTGATTAGGTCATGGAAATTCACAGCTAGATATGGAAAATTTGAAACTTTCACTGCCCGGTTTTACTTTGTAGTGTTGCAAGTTATTATGAAACACTGACTTTTTTATCATTTCCCCCCCCCCAAAGCTGTATGATGGGATGATCATAATAATTATAATTTATTGAGCACTTATTATATGCAACATAACAAATCCTCATATCAACTCTGTAAGAGAGTGTGCTGAGCCAGATGCAAATTGTCCAATATCAGCAATTTCATATGATTCCATTGAATAGTATTTTCAGTAGCTTCTCACCTTAGATAGTTACAGAGAGGTTAGGGAATCCGTGATAACCACCGTCTTACTCTGGAATTTTGTATTGAGTTTTGGTTTTGTTTTCACAGAGATTTCTGCTATAGGGCACATGCACTTGCCAGAGAGACAGAAAGTGAGAAATCGCCCCTGGGGGAATGGTCATGCCGCAATCCTTTCTCCTCCATTCTCCACTCAGAATTCTGGGCATGCACACACATGTGTGAGTTTTCAGCTGCTGAGTCTGAGACTCGAACTGTGGTCGGCTATGTGGGAGTCCAGTGATGTAATCATTATGCCACCTGCTGGTCCCAGTATTGAATTTTGTGTGCGTAAAGAGATCCTGACAAAGTTGCAGGCCCTTAATAACGTCCATCCCTTTCCTCCCATTAGCTCAGGTACTCTGTCCACTTTTATCATGATTTGCACATTGTATTAAGATGGTTTTACAATCCATTCTCTGAGGGTGGAGGTCTGTCCATCCGGGTTATTTTTGTATCTTTAACGCCTGGAGTGGTAAGTAAGTTTCCAATTGAATTGGCTATAACCTTAACATTTATTTTGAAAACTATCTAACATTTATTTTTCTAAACTATATAGATCTTTTTTGATTTGTTACTAGAAAATAGAAAGTCATCATTCCATTGGGGTTTTTGCATTTTAGAATGGGTCAATGGAGTACTGCATTTTCAGGCTCTTCAGATCTGATCAGGTGAGGATTCCCTCCTCCAGCCCTCTAGGCTGTCAGGATCTCAGAGCAGGGGGCAGGTTGCAGGTGCGAGGCTCCAGCCACCACTGTGGTGCAGTCTACTCTGCACGGTGCCACCTAGGCTGGGCCGCAGCATGTAACACTTTTTATTTAGCTCCATTTCTTTGGCGTTTCATTTTTTTCTTCACACGAGAAAGTAAGCGCCGTGGAGGCGGAAGTTTTTATCTCTCTTTGGTCCACCAGTGTATCCCAGCGTCAGTTAAATGTGTCCCATATAAGAAATCTATAGCATGAGATGTAATAGAATGAAACGAGAAAGGCACCATTATTGTTTTAGCATCGTGCTTTCGTGCCGCTTTGTATTGGACTGGGAGCTCTCGACTCCGAACCTCCATGGCGTGACTTACAAAGGATGGTTCACATCAGCACGAATGAATGGAAAGATGCTTTAATATTAAGCTAAGGGCATGGGTCTTAGGGAGGCTTGAGCAGCGGTTTGCTCTCCAGCTGCCACGTGACATGACCACCAGGCCTGGTTTGGCTCTTAACTCGCCTGGGTATAGAACACACCTCCAGTGGTCTCTCACCTCGTCTGAATAATTTCAAGGTGTCCCATGCGTAGCCTCACTAACGGCCACTGGGGCACCGGCTTCCATTCCCCTTCTCGCTGCTCCCCGGGGTGACCTATCAAAGGCCTAGGATGTAACGCGGGTCCGCTTCTTTCCTAGAGAGATGCGGCTTTCCAGTTTAGCCGGAGGATGGGAAGGAGACTCCAGCCCCTGTGGGGTGGGTGATGGTAGAGGAAAGGGAAAGGGCGCGTTCCTCGATTGTAGGCTGTAGGCCTGCAGCCAGTGCAGGAGACGGCGCGCGAGCTGGGTGGTCGCATCACTGCGGGGACTGGTCGGGAGGCTCGCGTGGCGGGCCAGGGCAGGAGCAGAGCGCGGCCCGCCCCTCCGCCTCGCGCCCCCTCCCCTCCCGGCAGCTGGGGGCGGGGTTTGTTTACTCCGTGCACGCACCCCAGCCAATCCGCGGGCAGCGCCGCCTGACGACACGCGGCCGGGGGCCAATGGGCGCGCGCCGTGCTGCTCCGCCGCCAAAGCTCGGGGGAAGCTCGAGGGAAGCGGGGCAGTCGCCCGGCCGGGTGAGGGCGGACGGAGGCAGCCGCGGGCTCCCCCGCGCCGCCGCACGTGGCCCGCACCCA